GCCATGGTGCGGAATATACCACACCTTCCCCATTGGCGTTTCCAACTGATGCTGCGACACTTCTTCAGCATAGCCATTGCTAATAACATCAGAAAGAAAGTTGTTATACTCTTCATGAAAGCCTGCATCTTTTTGAAGTCTCCTTTTCAGACCACGAACACGTTGCATGGCAACACAGAGGTTATTCGGCATTGAAACATCTTTCCCTTTGAAAGGCATTTGAAACGTGTAATGTCCATTTTTAAACTGAGCAGAGCCTTCCATTATCTCCACAAACTTCTTCTCTTCCCTTGACATTTCTTCCTGTTCTGCAGAATCTTGCTCATTGAAGTCGTAGTTGTACTGGCTGGTTAACAGTTCTTCAATTCTATCAATGGCAATTCTGTTGGCATAAACTAAAGGGTGGTCAATTCCACAGTCACTACTTCCCCGAAAAGGACCATTTATTACCCATCCCAGTAGGGTTCTGATCGCGTAGGGTCCTTCACCATCACGACTGTTAATCACCTCCCAAGGCTCCATCAACTTGGAGGCGTTTGTGCCAATTAATAGGTCAACCTCAGCATTTATATGGGGAATCTTTACATCGTCTAAATAAGGCCATTTTCTCAGCTCCCTTTCACTAATTATGTTGGCTGTAGAGATAGGTATCTCTTCCTGGGTACACACTTTAGAAAGTGGATAGAAACACTCACCAGAAACTCCTGAAATTTCCAGATTGTCAACAATGGAGCTTTCTACTGCGTTATCATGGCCCAAGGTGCGAATGTGAATTTTGCATTTGCGTCCTTCCACATTCAACTTGTCGATGAGCTGCCTGGTGCAAAAAGTTCCTGTACTCCCCGGGTCCAGAAAAGCATAGGTTTCAATAACCTTGTTTCCTTTTGAGCACTTCACCTTAACAGGCAAAATGGGAAGAATTCCATTGCAGTGACCAGCCCCTGTAAGACAACAAGCGGAGGATGTTGTGCAGCTGTCGGAGGAATTCGACGCCTCAGTAAATTTCTGCTCACCATCCTTCTGATCCTTTTGAATAACTCTTTCCATCTCTCCTATATGCAAAACACTGGGGTGCGTTCGGTTACACTTGTTGCAAATAATGCGCCTATCGCAATCTTTACTCAAGTGTCCTGTGCACAAGCAACTGAAACACAGACCTTTCTCTTTTAGATAGTCCAGTTTCTCCCTGTGTGTCTTTTTCCCCAGTTTAAAACATTGTTCCAAAACATGATTACCAGCAGCACAATACAGACAGGAAACAGAATCAGTCTTGGTAAAGGATGTTCCTTTTTTCTGAGCCATTTCCTCGGTACTATCTGGTTTGCTGTATCCTTCCTCAATGACCACCTGTGTTACAAAGCTGTTTCTTCCCAACTGAGGTTTACCTGTGACTTGTTTACTTTTGTAGCTCCCCTAATAACAGGTAAATTGTCTTGTATATCACCAAAGACTGGATCTGCAGTGATTCTGACCTGGCGCTCGATGAACTCCACAATGTCTGGGAATTGTGCTCTTCGCCCAGTTTTCTCCAGTATCTCACATGCCCTTGCTCTCCACTTGTCTCTGAGTCTGTATGGAAGCTTTTGACACAGAATCTTTATGTTTGCTGGCATGTTAAGTTCCTCTAAATACCGAAGGTCCTCCATAGCGTTGGAACACTCACGGAGGAAGAGACCATATGCTTTGAGCGCGTTGGGGTCCTCAGCTTTGATACTTGGCCATCCTATGACTTTCTCCATGTATGCTTCTGTTATCTTAAACTCATTTCCAAAGTGTTCCTTGAGCAATTTTTTGGCAATAGCGAATCCTCTATCTGCATTCATATGAAGGCAGCTGCGCACAATATCTCTTGGCTGCCCCCTAGTAAATTGCTCAAGATAATACAAACAGTCACCTTTACAGCTGGTCTTTGCCTCCACACAATGTTCAAACGCCTTTATAAATGTGTTGAACCTTAGAGGATCTCCATCATAAATTGGAATTTCTCGGCGTGGCAGCATTTGTAAAGTTTGCATTTTAACAAGAAGAGCTGTTATATCATTCTGTTGCTGCAGCAAATTGTGGATACCTGCTGTCTGATTTTGGCTTGGCAGGGGTTTATGTTGATCCAGAGTGGATGGAAAGCTTTGAGTTACAGTTGGCTTGGCAAGATAGATGGATTGGTTAAAGGTAAAGCATTGCTTTGTAGTGGTGGAGATGCATATCGCTGTGAGTGCGGAGGCACAAATACTGAGGCCTGTGGATTGAGAGGGGTGGGTGGGAGCTTAGATCTAGCTCCTTTCCTAATATAGGACGCTATTCCATCAGATTGCCTTGAATGGGTGCTACTACCGACCTGTAGCACTGCTAACTTAGCAGAAGTGGCAGCTATCTCAGTGTCCATCTCAAGTTGCTCCTTCTTTCTCCTTAAGATGAGCTCCTGCTCCTCCAATGCATGTTTGTCCTTTAAGGCAGCAGCTCGAGCCAAGAGTGCAGCCTGTTCTGCCCTTGCCCTGAGTCTGGCTGAAGAAGTGGAGGATCTACTACTGGAGGACCCACTACTTGACCCATGGTGCCTTGACTGCACATTTGAAATGCTGTCTTGAGGTTGAATCTGATCATCTTCCTCATCCTTTCCACCAGCATTTCCTCTTCCATTGGCATCAATCTCATTTCCATTTTCAACATCAACATTTTGAGTTTCAATTTGAACCGGCAAATCATCATGATCATCATTCACTTTAGTAACAAGCTTTAGTGTCATACAACCATTGATTTGTACCCACAAAAAACTCATTGAAACTCAACATTTTCGCTTGATACCATATTTCATGTTTTTTTGCTTCATCAGCAGGCAATAAACCCAATAAAGATGTATGTACATGCTGAATTTCATCACACAACTTATTGTACATGTTAAATTCATGTTCAACCTCACTGACATGCCTTTTATCACCCATCAATTTAGTAATAGATTCTTTTGCAATTGACAATTTGCTAAATTTACACTTTCTTTCCTTTTCTAAAGTGCTTATTTTTTCCAACAAAGCTTTGGGTGTTAATTTAACCACACGTTTTTCAGTCTCAGGGCCAAGCTGGCCTTTTTCCTTTTCAGCCATAATGACAACACAAAGCGATTTAGCTTATTAATCAATAAGTTCGCAGAATAGTTTTGTGTTGCGCAACAACTCGTCTAGACGCGTAAAGTTATTTTTAGACGGTTGCGAATTACCACCAATGCATTGGTTTTACGTGAATGTGTGCACACAAATTACCATGGCCATTCATAATATCAGCGCTGTTTACCACATACCCCAATCGAGCGTTGGCCGGCTTGATGAATGATGTCCCGATGTAAAGATGCTGATAATCCGTTGACCCAGCAGCTCGCTCCGGTACAGCTCCTTTCAGCAATCGGCAACTCCAAACATTTGCCCTCCTCACATCCGTGATTTCCAAACGAACACAGTAAAATCCACTTTATGGCTGGTCCGGCCGCGTCCTCACGAACGATTATCCAAATCGAAGCAGTTTTCGACCTAATGTACTAAGTCCTAAACAAAGTCTAGTACTGGTTGCTGATTTCGTGGATTTAAGTTTAGACATGTGCGTGTGATCTTACACGTAAAATAAAGACGGAGAGCGTTCATTAATGTTATTATTATCTAGCAATTTATTTTCCTGCATATCATACAGCGGCAATATCTTAACTCATAATATAACATACAACACACCGTATCATTTACCCCAAGCGCAAGACCATGGGCACAGTCGAAAACTGTTTGCTTCTCAATCAGCGACACCTGTGTCTGAGTTACCTCCAAATTAAAAGACTTACACGGGCTGACCCGAGATCAGCTGTGCCACAAAGCACATACAGCCCCCTAGTGGCACAGCACAAAATTGACAAATACAAAGTGAATATGGCTCATACACGGTCTGTACAGTTACAAAGTTCTCAACGCTTCGTTTTGTATGTATGGAGCCTTATTATGTTACTGTGTGAGTTTGTGGCTATTTTGAGCCTTGTTAGTGGTATAAGCGATTTCTTTTTACTTACTCAATGCCCCCATTACTAGCATTATACGCTAAACAGTTTTTAGAGATAAAACTCTTTACATTCTATTATCATGAAAACAAATCTCAGAGAACGGTTGACTATGTACCGATGTTTTATTAGACCAAAGGTTCATTGTTCGCCGGAGTTCTCCTTTAATTGACTTTATGCACAGCTGCACTACTTCCTGAACTTAAGCCAGCTACTTGTTTCCTGTCTGCTATTATTGGCCAAACTTGATTAATTCAGGTGTGTCTGATTATTGTTGCCATGACTACTGAGGTCAGGCAAACCTGAATCAATCAATTTGACCAATAATGGCAGACAGGAAACAAGGAGCTGGCTTAAGTTCAGGAAGTAGTGCAGCTGTGCATAAGGCCAATTAATTGTCATATGATTAATAAGAGAAAAAAGTAAGACAAATGAATATGCTCTTATTAATGCTTCTTACAACAATAATACAAATTAGAATAAAGTGTTTTTTCAGATCGTGGTTATGATCACGTGACCTGTCGGTTCTGCTTGCAAAAAACACCAAGATTAAATTTCCAACAAAATGGGATAACCTTTTACTGGTGAGAACATGTTGGTTTGTGTTTTCATATTTACTCTATATTTCAAGGTATTTTATTGTATTGCATAACAAGAATGCACGTAGCCTACGCCATATGTATTCAACTATCACCCATTCATTATAGCATCAAAGGAAACAACAGAAAATAAACCCTACAGGGGATAACTTACACAAAAAAAAATACAAAAAGAAAAGGATTTCATACATCCGATCCAATTCAGAAATGCCACACATCCGTTTTGTTGTTTTATTTCTTGCATTTTTTTAGACCCTGCATATAATTTTTTAATTTAAATATTGAATAATAATGTTGGGTTTATTATTTGTCCATTTTTGTTTGTGTGTGTAGCGACAACCAGTGACGAAAGGCGGGGTTCCGTCACTATGACGTAGAACGTAATGTCGGAAGCCACGCCCATCACGCACACACTCTTCCTGTTATGAGAGCGATCACGCTGGAAGCCGCTCTCCGGGTCGCTGAATTGGAAAAGTAAGGTAACAAATCAGAAATCTTATTAAACATTTACAGTGTCTGCAGATTCGAATTGAATGTTGATTCACGTGTTCTGGCTGAGTATGCCCAATGTTTTTATTTATTTATTATTTATTTAGATACAGGAAGATGTTTTAAAGTTGTCTAACATTAGTTTTTATTGGCCAGTGATTATCTTAACCAGTCAGATGATGCATTTATTAAGCTCATAGTAATATTGTGTCAGTTGTTGCACGGACAGAAAGTAACATCTCAAAGATGACACGACACTAAAGCTTTGTCATTTGCGCCTCTGCATTATTTTAGATCATGTGATTTTGCACTGAAGCCTTGGCTCTTTTGTAACAGATTTGGTAATTAATGTAGGCAATAGTAGTTACATTTGACATTGCAAATCATCTCACACAAAAAAAAAAATGATTATTGCACAAAAGTGACTAATCAAACATTGAAATGTATTAATATTGAATTGTGTTGACCCAACAGTATCCACCATTATTAACACAAAGACATTGACTGAATAGTAAAATAAAGCATTTGTATTGCAGAAAAATCAGTAGTGTACTTTATTAGTCTGGATGTTATTCTCCTTATTTTGCATAGTTCATGTTTATGTTCATGCTTTCTGAGTATGAGTGCATGTAATGCAAGTGCAACCTGTCTAACTTGACAAACGAGTCTGATAACAGATGAACATGGGCTACTGCAGCATGATTAAATGCACAATATTTGATGTAAGCATTTTTTAATTCTCATTGGCCTATTTATTTTACTCTCCAAACTTATGCGTTTCATTATTTGCTCAGAGCATCTGTCTGCTACGCGGAGAAGGGGAATGTCTGCTCAGGCAAACCGGGTCATGGCGTTGTCGGAGTGGGAGGACCGGTGGAAGGAAGGAAAAATTGGTTTTCATAGAGCTCAAGTGCACAAGTAATCACACACTTCTCACTCCTGACACTATAATCATTCATGTTAAAGAGGACAATATTATGCTTTTTCTATTTCTCTTGTGTGTGATGTTGCTATTTGAGAATGAGAAAGCTCCAGTTCTTCATAGTGTCAGTGTTTCCTGAAAGGCCTCCAGTCCATAGTAGCCTTGAGTTTCTCCCGGGAACAAACACGTCACAATATTCCTCATAATAATAATTAATGCGCAGAATAAAGGGGCGGGGCCTGGTTGAGTTAGTTAGTAGTGTGTTAAACTGGCGGTTATGGAAAGGGGCGGACATTTCCCAAACACACTCGAAGTGCTCGACCAATCACAACACACTTCTCCAGCCGACCAATCAGAGCACAGTGTGCTTTTCAGAAGGAGGGGCTTCATAGAGACAGGAAGTAAACAGAGCGTTACTGACAGACTTGGAAGAGAGGAGCCGCAACAATAGGAGAATATGAGGAAAATAATCAATATTCCTGTTGTTCAACAACATCATGACTGTAAAAGGGCAAAATCGGTCCTAGTCTTTAATACATCTCACATGACTCCATGATTTAGCCATCCTGTGTTGCTTACGAATAAATAATGTTCATTTGGAATTATTCATAAAATGTATAAAGGAGCCATAAAATGTTGTCAATGTATTATTTTACTCTGAATCTCTCACCTTCATTTGTTTCAATCCACCTTTTTTGTATTTTTTTTTTTTTTTGGAAGGTTGCTGGAAAACAACTTGGATAAAGTTGAATGTGGACGAAAGGAGATTAGATTCTTCTTCCCACTGTGTGGAAAAGCTGTGGACATGAAATGGTAAAAGGTCTTAAATCTGTGTCAATGAATAATGTTATAAATCTTTCTAAAATGTTCATATTGTTTCTCAGGCTGGCTGATATGGGTCACTCCATTGTTGGAGTTGAAATATCCGAAAAAGGAATTAAACAATTCTTTGAAGAACAAGATCTTGCTTATAATGAAGAAGCAGTTCCAGCTATTCCCGGAGCAAAGCTGTTCAAGGTATCTGAAGGTCTCAAGTGTGTCATCCTTAGTATTTGCCAATGATAGTTACTGGACCCATAAATCATACATCGAGTTACTATCCTGCTAAAGACGTCGACCTCGATTCAAACACCCACGCCATCTTATTCCTAAATTACAGCAATTAGTCTAAGTCTATTAAACCTCTGACTAGTACGGTCACAGTGTCCCTGAGAGAGCAGTTCTCATGTATAGGTATGGACAATAATTACAATCATTTAGATTATCACAGAAGTATTGGGATAAAAGTTTATAGTTGGGATATAAACACTGATCTCTACGGTAACGATCAAAATAGAGTCTAAATTACACTGTTCATTCAAAAGACTCATAAAAAAATGCAGATTCATCCGGTGATGTAACAAGTCTTAACGAGCGAGTTTATTGAATCATTCATTCAGGAGATTCGTTCAAAATTGTGGATTCAAAAAATAAATAAATAAATAAATTGCTGATTCATTCAGTACTGAAAAAGTGAAGTCTTTATGAGCGATTCATTGAAGTCATTGACTCATTCATTCAGGAGATTTGTTCAAAATTGCTGATTCATTCAGTACTAAAATATGTGAAGTCTTTATTAGCGAGTCATTGAATCTTTCATTCTAGAGTAGGGCTGCAACTAACGATTATTTTGATAATCGATTAATCGGACGATTATTTTTTCGATTAATCGGATAAAAATTATATTTCATTTTTTTGTTTATTATAACTAAATAAAACCCTAAATCAGGGTTGTGGCGAGCAGGGTGAGGACTCATTGATCTGATAATCACTATTTTGTGTGTTAAACAATCTACTTAATACAGACAACTTTAATTATAAAGAAAAACAACAAATAAAATATATATATGACCACAGTGGTGTGCCGTTAGGGCCAGCAAGGCCTTCTCTGCTGGCCTAAACACTTTCAGAATCACTGACCTGCACTTATAATAAACTTAAACTTACAATATATTTTTTCCATGAATGAGTATAAAATTATTCCAAATAGTTTGTTCTCTTAATTTCATATCTTTTCTCTTGGCTGCGCTGCTTCCAGTAGTGTGTTTTTATGTTAGAGCTTGTATCCAATTATATTTCAGCCATCATGCGTCAAATAAATCTGCCTGGAGGCCTTCAGAATCGACAGTGCGGGTGCCTGTAGTATAAAATGAATGGCAATGAAACATTTTCTTTAACCAATCAGATAATTCGTCAGATTTAATCAGCCAATCAGATTTCGCTTTGACTGCAGCGGGGCCATGTAGCTGGCATATAATAACGTCTGTATTTCCTCGTTCTTTGATTGGATGCGTGTACAGACCGTGTACTATTACTGGTAGTATCCGCATCTGTATAGCGAACTGCGTAAACTAAATATATATTCATGTAGATGTAATAGTTTTTCAACCCACAAATTAATGTTTCTTTTCCTCCTCGACCTCCAGCAGAAAAAAATCCGTTATTCACCCTGAGCTAAACGCAGAGTAACAGAACTCTATTCAAAATCTCCGGGTAAAAACAGAACTGAATGATTTTGAAGGCAAAAGTCCCGCAGATCTCGTTGATTTCGTTCAAAAGTCTGTGTGAGACATCGTCATGTTTTGCGGTTACTGTGTGTGCTTCTGTCGGGCAAGCACTCTCAGCCATAAAGCGAATTAAAACATGCTAGAAATATGACGAGACAGACACGACATTGTTGGAACTGAAACGGAGTTAGAACCTGTACAACAGTAATTGAAGTCTTCTTGAGGAAAGAAATAAGGATGGATTTTGTGTAAAAAAAATAATCTGTAGTTTTGGTGAGTATAATGCTTTTTTACCCGTGCTGGTGAATATGATTTTCTTATTTTTTCGTATAAATTTATGATCGAAACTTCATTTTTTTTTAAACATTCATACTATTGTAACATCTGAAAAGGGACTATTGTAACCCTTGTACGACAAGATAAGGGAGGCTCCGTTTCTGAACTTATATTTGTCTTATATATTTATATTATATTTAACTTATATTGTCCCCACCACTTTTTAAAAGCTCTCGTGGCACGGATAGCTAACAGTTGAAATAAATAAAACATCTCCAACTGGCAGACAGTTCGTTTGTAAAATAAAAGAAGCGATCTATAGCCCTAAAATACGTTGTTTTTTAAATCAAGTGATCAAAGTGCTCCTTGCTGCCTGCGATCGGTGGCACGGTTACAGTGTATCTCGTGGCTCACGCACAGTTTTCACATGCACGCTTCAATCCGTTTCGGAGACTATTTGTTCGTTCCGGTGCAGAGCATATGAGCGGAGTGGAGTGGGAGAGATCGGGGAGCGAGCGGGCGGATCTTGGACAGAGCGCAGAGGGGCATTTTTAAAAGAACGGAGCGTCGTCGCCCTATTTTCCGCTCCAATTTCGCTCCGCTCAGGGTTTTCTCCGCAACCACCGCATGAATCTGAATCCTCAGACATTGTCTAAACTTGTGTTCTTGAAGGTGAACTCAAAAGAACTGTAGATAAGGAAAGCAATTCATTTTCTTTCTTTCTTTCTTTCTTTAAAAAAAAAAAAAGAAAAAAAGTTTGACAACATAAGCCATTTAAATTGTAATCCATGTGCACACAAAAGTTCAGTTATACGAATTTTGGCCTAATAGTTCATTTAGCATACTTTTAAAACGTTGACGTAGCCTACAGTAGGCCTATAGCCTGTATATTTGTATTTATATATTATTAGGCCCATTGATTCGTTTAATTTTACAGCATTTTTTTGGTACAATTGATATAAGCATAATTTTTTTTTTATTATTATTTGTGCGCGCTCTGCAAAAGTTTAGTTATCAAAATGTTGGCCTAATTAATTTACTTTTTAAATTTACTTTTAAATGTTTAGGCATGTATTTTGGTTTATACACTTTTTTATCTTTATTTATATTATTAGGCCCATTTATTCGTTTAATTGAACAGCAGTTTGTGTGTGTACAATGGAGAGGCTATAAGCCAATTTAAATGTTAATCGTGCGTGTTCCGCAAAAAATCAGTTATCAAAATTCTGGCCTAATAGTTAATTTACTTTTATGTATATTTTTGTTTATATAATTTTTATTCATATTATTAGGTCAATTTATTCATTTAATTTTACAGGACTTTCTGTATAGGCTATTTCCACTGGACATGTTGTAAAGTCGCATCTATGTTTTTATTCACGCATCACGTGATTCATTCATTTATACACATGTCCCACCCACTTTTTAAAACAAAGTTGCCACTGGTTTCAGTACTGAATGAATCAGCATGTTTGAACAAATCTATTGAATGAATGATTCAATGACTCCCTCATAAAGACTTCACTTGTTTCAGTGAGTCATTGAATCATTCATTCAAGAGATTTGTTCAAAATTGCTGATTCATTCAGTACAGAAACAAGTATTTGAATCATTCATTCAATACCATAATAAAAAAAAAACATTTAAATTAAGTATTTAATAGTAAATGCCATGTTATTTTGTTCAGAATCATGCAGCTCTAATAATCGTGCAGCTCTAATATATAGGTAATTATACCATGGTCTGGGTGAATACTCGATTCTGATTGGCTGCAGGGTGTCGGTTAAAAAGTGATAGAGGACACCTAGTAAAGTAGTCCTGGTGAAACTGCCTGTTTACCATTCGAAATTAATAAATAAATGCGCTGCCTACAACAGCTGTGAGTAACCATAGCAACAGGCAGTCAAAGTATCTGTTAACAATTTGCTCCATCAAAACAAACATCTAACGTTAGTTAGATATTACATAGCCTACTAATACAACAATGAGCGACTTCGTTATTTCTTTTAACATTTATGGAGAATATGACAACTTTGACTTTGACACGATGCTGCTGAAGAAAGAAAAAATGTAAATAAAACGGAGAAACGACACAAAGAGATAACACCAGGAGAATTGAATCAAATAGAAGACGAAAAAGATGAGATCAACACGAAAAAAAAATACGAAATGGACAGTAAATACACTCAGAGACTTTATTTTTCAAAAAATAAAAAATAAAAAATGGACTCCAGCTTTGAAAATTACACCACTGCTGCTCTGAATGAGACCCTGCGAGAGTTTTACGCAGCTGTCCAGACAACCAGGCAGGAGGAGAGTAGCTACAGCGTTTCAAGCCTAAGGAGTCTGTTTGATTGATTGATTAATTGTTTTATGTGTAATAAAAAAATAACTATGCCTAGCCTACCTTTGTGTTTCGTGAAAAAAAATGCGTTTTTGAACCTGAAGGGTTCTACAAGCTGAGCGGACTATAAATATCTCCGGTTGCTAAATAAACCGTCAGGCAAGTTATTATTTGTAAATCTAGATTTAGCCTAATTAAAATATAAACTAATGTTTTATTTGGCAAGTGACCATGGTATAAGCGGGTTAATGCCCTCCGATTGTCAGGTTTTAATGGACTTCGGCGGAAGCAACCATCCTCCGCTGCGCGTCGGCCGGTTCACACATCGCCGTCGTCCATTATAACCTGACAATGGACACCTCGTCGGGCATTAACCCTTACATAACTAGAATAATAACAAAGTGAAGTAAATGTGCTGTGCACCAGTGTGTTTGTGTGTGTGTGTGTGTGTGTGTGTGACTGATACAGGCAAAAGCGAGTGAGAGTTCGCTGCTCGTACATCTCCATGCATGCGCTGTATTGTTCTGATGGCTTTCCTCAGATTAATCCAGACGGATGATCCGCTGCGTCCACACACACCGTGATGTTTCTGTGTCTCACTCTCCCAACTAATGCATTTTCCTTGTTCTCAGAGCGCAGACGGAAAGATCTCCATCTATCAGTGTGATTTATTCAAGTTCTCGAGGTGCGTTTTATACTCTCTGGTTTTAGATGATTAAATGTAACGTAAAGCACATTTGATCGTCTCTTTCGGTCTGTCAGTGCCGTTGCAGGAAAGTTTGGAGGGATTTGGGATCGAGGAGCACTGGTGGCCATAAACCCACGTGACAGGGAAAAGTACGTAGCCTATTGAATAAATCAACATTTCACGTCCGGTTATTTATGTATGGTTTCAGTGGGATTGTATTTGAATAGATCGGCTCTTTATCCCACAGGTACGCCTCTCTCCTCGTTTCTTTAATGAACGATGACTGCAGATATCTGGTGAACACGGTGGAATACGATCCTGAGCTGTACAAAGGTAACGTTAGGAAAGATTTTTATTCATTATAAAGCATGTGTGTTTTGTTTATAGTGTTTGATCTCGTCTGTTGGCTCATTTGACATGCAGGCCCGCCGTTTTTTGTGTCAGAAGAAGATTTAAAGAACATATTTGGTGAGAGTTTGGTTATGAACACATCACCTATTTCATTAGGTGTTTTTGTTATTGATTCGTCATTATAGAGCTTTTATTTCTAGATGGTTTTAGCCAATAATCATCCTGTCATATTCCAGGAGGAGGCTGCGTTATCGAACTAGTTCAGGCTATGGACGGCTTCGAGGAAAAGCACAGATCATGGGGACTGGATTCACTGACGGAGAAACTCTACCTTCTCTCTCCAAAAGCCCAGTGATCAATCCTGAAATCAGCTGGAGTGTGATTAAAAAGGGGACATTACTTAATGCAATAATAAAATGCATACTAGGGTTTAAGGAGTAGTTCACTTTTAAAAAAACTTTTTGCTGATAATTTACTCACCCCCATGTCATCCAAGATGTCTTTCCATGTCTTTCTTTCTTCAGTCGAAAAGAAATTTTTTTTTTTTTTTTAATGAAAACATTCCAGGATTTTCTCCATATAATGGACTTTAATGGGGTCCAAACGGTTCAAGGTCCAAAAGACAGTTTCATTGCAGCTTCAAAGGGCTTTAAACGATTCCAGGTCATGAAAAAGGGTCTTATCAAGCGAAACGATCAGTCATTTAATACATAAATTAAAAAGTTTAAGTTTTATAAGCACAAATACTCGCCTTGCTCTGTTCTGTGATGAGTGTTCGTGACTCTCCTGTTTGAACTCGTTCATCAAAATGAACTAATCTTTTTCCAAGTCATTTGGTTCATTCAACGAAACGAATAAATTGACTCGTAAAAAGATTCAGTCATTTTGATGAACGAGTTCGAAAAGGAGAGTCAGCAACGTGCATCACAGAACAGAGCAAGGCGATCATTTGAGCTTATAAAACTTCAACTTTGTTATTAATTTATAAAATGAGCGATCGTTTCACTTGATAAGACACTTGTTCATCGTCTAAAGCCCTTTGAACAGTTTGCAGTTTGCACTGTAACTGTCATTTGGACCTTAAACCATTTGGTACCCATTGAAGTCAATTATATGGAGAAAATCCTGGAATGTTTTCATCAAAAACCTTAATTTCTTTTCAACTGAAGAAAGAATGACATGAACATCTTGGATGACATGGGGGTGAGTAAATTAAGAGTAAATTGAGTTTTTAAACTGAACTACTTTAATGGAAGACAATTGCATTTTTTTGTATTTTCATAAAAGTCACGTAAAAGTCTCATAATTGGAACGTATTTCAAAATATTTGAATAAATCATTAATGAATTATTTTTCAGATATTTCGTTTGTTTCATATCTGGATTGGTGTCTGTTGGAGAGTGGGGTATGTGTGAGCTCTCGGTTTGACCACGAGAGGGCAGTAGTTTGATATTTTCACGATGCTTTTTACATTTACCAATACGACAAGAAACATAGCAGTAAAAGATTAAGAATAACATCTAGAAAATATGGTTTAGTCATCATAAACATTGAAAGATTATGAACATATTCACCGTATTATGAATAAAATTAAGTGAGTATTCAAACTCAAAGTAAATCTTACTTATCCAGTTATTTTATTGAATAAAGGAAAACAAAGTGCTACTTTTGTAGTTCTGGACATTATGAGATTTTAAGTAACCAGTGGTATGTTACACAAATTAACACATTAAGCTGTTAGTATTTTTATTTAGTGCATGTGAGTTCAAATACTGTGGATAAAAGCGTCTGCGGAATAAATGTAAATGCTGAAATATGTGTCGCTTTAAAGGCCTGTAAACAAGCTAGAATTATTTTCTGTTCTGTTTAAATCTATTCTATTTAAATCTGTCTTAAAACTTTTTTAAGGAAGGAAGATTTTTTTTTTTAAGGAAGGAAGAAATGTAATCTCAAATGAGATGACAGAACAGTTAGGGAATCAGAAAGAGAAATTACAGAATTATTATTACTCAGTATCAATTAGTATCAATGTATACAGTTTTAATTCCTGTGTTCATATGCCTCATATAAGCGAGCTAAATGCCGCCTCAAAAGCGTCACTGTTCCAGGATCTGTGTGTAGCCTACGTTTGGACTCGTTTCTAATCAACCATGTTATGAGCTCTCTTTTCTTTTCTTTAAATGAAACAAAAACACTTGGGTAAATAGTTTGTCTCGTCCGCGTGACCGCGCGTGCACCGCTGGCCAGATGTGCGCCTGTTTACTTTAAATATAGCTCGTGCTGAGGCACCCCGAGTCTCTCAGCCAATCACGGGCGCCGGGGGCGGGGTCGGCTGGAATGTTGTGGATGCGAGAAAATGAACAATGTAACCCCATAACTGATGCTGTCGGGAATATCACTGCGCATCCACACACACCTACAGCGCGAGATGCTTGATTCGGGGACTCGGCTGCGACCGGACAGGGTTTGTGGAGAGACACTGAGCGTCTGCTGAAGTTCAGGGTGAGGCTCTTTCTGTCATGCACAATATAACGGCGTAGCATTATGCATCTGCATTGCATTAATGCTCATGATTTCATGCGATTTGTAATAATCAATATCACGCTATTCCGAGGAACTTCAATGTTGCGGCCGCGCGCACTGAATCCACCCCAAGGGCATTGCGACCATTGTTTCCTAGTCATATTTCACACATCTCTTATATACCAGCTCGCTAAAATATGAACGTGTCTGCTGACGTTTCGGTGCTTAATAACGACTACATTCATCCACATGATCTGACGCGCAATTAATGGAAGAGACCCACATATTGTCGCGGAGCGATAACGCAAACAAACCAACCTTTGGATAATTGTAGCCCGAACGGGCCGGGGTATTCATATTTGCTCAGATATGCTTCTGTGTCATTAAAGAGTGGGAAGAGAGGGAGGTGTGAGATTACGCGCGCGCCCGGTTGCGCGAGTCTCTCTGTAACTCAATCAGCTTGTTGAGCTGGTAAAGCGAGAAGACACGCGCTTCAGAGGCGTGTGTGTGTGTGTGTGTGTGTGACGGGGTTTGCGCTGCGGTTCAGGGCTGGTCTGAGAGGCATGAGGGTTTGTGCATCCCGTAATATTGCGCTGGTGAAAACAAGCAGAGCCATCTGACAGAGAGAAGGGGAGCATTTCGGTATCGGGAGTGATGATGACGATGATGATGATGAAGCCATAACGAGGGACAACGTCATAATAACAGGTAACGCACTTAATCCGACCTTTGCGCGAGATATAAAACAGAGTTCCTCATATAAAGAAGTAGGCTAAATGCAGCAGTGGTAAATATTTAGAGATTTAAATTTTTTAATATTATAATTCGAGTGGGAATAAAATAGAGTAGCCTAATGTTTTATATTTTTAAATATTTAAAAAGCATTATATTACGTAAAATAATATAAGCATATAAAAAAACGGTATTGCTTAATATAGACTACCAATACTAAAAATACTTTTTTAAATGCTACTTAAATATTATATATATATATATATATATATATATATATATATAAACACTGTATTTAGTTATAATATACTTTAATTATATGAATTATTTACACGTACATGACAGAAGGGATTAAATTCAAAACAAACCTAATAAGTAATAAGCAGAGGCCTGTTGAGAGATGTGTGTGTGCTGGAGACAGGATCATGTGTGTGTCACAGGTGTATCAGGATCATCACAGCATTTTAATTCTCTGTTTAATTAGATCCCAAGATACCAAGAAGTGCTTCAGATTCACCAGCACGATGAAAGCTGATGGGTTTGTGGAAGTCGAGGTTTAGCTTCTAAATAGATTACTTGTGTCGTGTCATTTTGCGTGTCGTGACATGAATGAAGCGTCAATCCCTGCAGGGAATACCGGAATAACGTCTGGAATCTCGGCTCTTTTGACAGGCTCTCAAACTCATTCCATGGAGTCATATAACATAATGTATATGACCTCATCCGGGCCGGAGGAAGGTAAAGAGAGAAGGAGTGTGGGAATGAAGAGGTGTTTTTTTTTTCAGTTTGACATTTAAAGCTCATACAGTTATGATAACCTCAGATTGTTCCCAGCCTTCCCAGTTTGTCAGGATAATTAGCCGTCATGGCGGGTGTGCACGGAGCATATTGTTTAGACGTAATTAATCAAGCCTGCTGGTAATTATCATTGTCCATAAATTAACACATGAAGCAAGCAGCGGGTGTTCAGAGAGATGCAGTCATCATCATAAATAATAACCGCCTTTTTACAGCAACCAAAACTACTTTTCAATCTGCCAATCCCAGGAGAGATTAGCGCAGAACATCATGTCAGATCTTTCTTAAACATCCTCGGCTCTGAAATTACACAGACTTTGGTGATGTGGGTCTGTGTTTTCTCCAAAGCCCGTGCGGATGACCCATCGGTCTCAGTCGACCTGTAATGACAGAGTTTCAGGGTTAATTTTAACTCCGGCTCTCCACCGTCCTCACCGCATCGTTTGTGTTTCTCCAACATCAGCTGCCGCTAACATTATTTTTACACGCTGCAATTCAGGGCAGCTGAAGCTCTAAAAGCAGAACAAGTCTGCCATAACCAGTGGATAACACTAGTGACATTCGCCTAGTGCTGCTGTGATACATCCAGGTTAAGCCAGGACGGAAAACTACTGTAAAAAATTATCGTGATTTTAACATGAAAAAATGCTACAGTGCAAAACTGTTAATTGGTTAACAGAAAGTTTCCTTACTATACATGGTAAATAACTGTGATAGATCTAATGGTACATTTAATGTCATTTTACTGTAAAATACCATTAGATTTACAGTTTTTGGAAGTGAAAAAGAACAACTGTATAATTTAATTATATATTTTACAATTTAAATAATAAATTTAAATTGACAATTTACAGTGAAATCCCGTAAATTGACATTACCACAATTCCATGCATGACGCTGTATTTTGTTGAAATAACAGTTTTTTCATAGTTTTCTACTCAGTTATGTACATTAGGGTTTTATGTTACATGTAATGTTGTTAAATTAGTGTTTATTGCACTTTTTAAATTTCACGTGTGTTACCATGATGGTGTTTGTGCGAATTACTCTGCAGCTTCATATTAATGGAAGAGTTTGTTTGCGATGAGCTTTGATTGATCATGTGACTCAGTGCTGTGATTGGTGGTGGTCAGTGTATTACAATGGTACAAAACAGATATCAACAATACTTCAATATATCAGAAAATGAACATTGTTTCATATATTGAAGCACAGTTTATTACTGTGAATTAAAAGTGAAGTCTGTAAAACCAATAATGTTGCTACCGTATTTCTGGCAACCGCAGTGTCTGGTATTTTCCGTAAAAATTATGTTTTATTTTTTACAGTAGATAAGGTAAAAAATAAAACTGTATTTTTTTACGGTAAAAATGGCAGCATTATTGGTTATACAAACTTAAATTAAAATTTACAGTTATAAATTATATTTAATTAACAGATATAGTGTTAATTTAACAATCTTTTGAAGTATTGATAACTGTTTTGTACAATTGTAATACACTGACAACCACCAATCACAGCAGTAATGAGTCGAATGATCAATCAAAGCTCATCACAAGCAATTCTTCCACAAGAAGGTAAATACTCATTTAAAGAAGCTCCACAGTCACAGTGTCATTCGCACAAACATTAAACACCATCATCGTAACACACATGACATTTTAAAAATGTAATAAACATTAACTATACAACATTAAATGTAACATAAAACCCTAATGTACATAACTGATTACGAAAACCAAGACAACTAAGTATCATAGTTAGCCTTCAACAAAAATACATAAAATGTGAAGTGTCACACTTCACATTTTAAATTGTACAATGAGTTGTTCTCTTTCACTTTCAAAAACTGTAAATCTAACAGTATTTTACAGTAAAATTTCATTAAATGTACCATGAGATCGATCACAGTTATTTACCGTATATAGTACGGAAACTTTCTCTTAACCAATTAACATTTTTGCACTGTAGCATTATTACAGTCTTTTACCGTTAAAATTACGATTTTTTTTTTTTTACAGTGATTTGAACAACATGATGCAAGGGAAATGTTTTAACTGAGTGTTAATGAGCAAAGATCATAACACTAAATTGCCTAAGTAAATAAACTATATGCTGTCCCGGCATGAAAAAAAAAAAAAGTTTGGGGTTTAATGAGAATTGTCTTAAGTTTTTTTTTTATTTGGTAATAATTACAGTAAAAACTGAATTTTCTATTTTAATATTTTCATGATCGTTCAGAAATCATTCAAATGTGCAGATTTTGCTGCTCAAGAAACATTTCTGATAATTATCAATGTTGAAAACAGTTGTGATGCTGCTTCTCTGCTATTTTTGTGGAAACCGTGATACATTTTTGATAAATACAAAATTTGATGTGTTGAAAGTTCAAAGGAACAGCATTTATTTGAAACCATTGTAAAGTCTTGACTGTCAATTTAGGTAAAATAATAATTCTGTCTTTAAAAAAAATGTAATACAACTATACTGTATTTTTAATCAGATATTGTTAATCAAAATAACACATGCAATTATTAATTTATAAATATTATATTATTAATATAATAATAATAGTAACTCTGATAATGTTTGTAATATTTTTTTAAGTCCCCATGAAATCAGTTTAAAGTCCCTGTGGTGATACAGCTTTTAATGTTGTTTATGTGTGTATGTGGTGTATTTAATACGCTTTTAGACACCATATATCGACAGCATTGCTGAGTATTTCCTCCTTAAAGCTGCAGTGAACCAAAGACAGTCTCAAAAACACGTTTTGAAATCGCTGGTGTTTCTGACGTCACAAACAACCTTGTAACCAATCAGATCAACGTGTGATCGCCAATCAATGGATCACTGAGTGAGTGAGTGAGTGATTGAGTGGAGGCGGGGCTCATTTGCATAACGATTTTGATGACATCACTCTGCATTTCAGCTTCTCATCAGATTTTCTGTCCCATCAAATGCTCTATAGAATCTGAAGCTCCGCCCTCTACCCTATAAGCAGACGTTGAAGCTGTGGGTCGCTTGTTAACACGTTTACTATATTCTGCATGGTGAACGGCACACAGTGCACTATATAGGGAATAGGGAACAATCAGACAGTGTAAATATGCTTTCCACTGGGGCAAATGAAGTCTCCTGTTAGTTTCCTGTTAGTGTCACGCGAACCACCACAGATCCGTCTAGAGACACGACACACAAACGCACACACAATCCAGTCGCCGAACACCACAAAACATATCGTTTCCCAACATAGCTGGGATATAAACGAAACTCTATTGGCTATTTCAATGGCTGTTTGGCTGTTCGATATGCCCCTCCCTGTCTTCCTGTTTCAGTGGAAATTACGTCAACACTGACGTATTTCAAGGCACTATCATTTCTAAACTTAATATGCAGAGACAACTTTTTTTAGGGCGATTTCCCCCAAAATTGCAGTTTGCATAGTTTGTGTCTATGTTTCGTCGTTACTAACACAATTCAATGGAACTTGCGACCATAGTTGGCTAACGATGCTTTTGGAGGCACAGCAACATTGGTTCAGCCAATAGCGTGAGTTTGGGGGCGGAACTAACCGGTTTGCTTGAACAATGGCGGACAGGGGAGTGTTTGGCATCATTTCGTGCAGAAACCACTTCTGACCTTTCAAAGAAAGAATATGCAAATAAAAGCAGTGCAGTCGTGAGGATGACATGTTCTCCAAGCAGGATTTTTCAGCTCAGTTCTGATTTATTCGCTGTAGACGGAGATAAGCTCCACGTCCAGCTGTCACACACTCATCATGTGAGAAAACGACACAGGAAGCCGACACACACCGCTCCATCACCTGCTCGCTGTCCTTCTCCATGGTCACCGCACACTGCCAACAGTGGAAGAGACGACACACACTCGTTCCGGAGAAGCTAATGAAGTGTCCAGAAGACAGATCACTGAAAGTTTGGAAGACTGTGTTCACTTATTCAGCTGTTTTCTGATTGAGCAATACGGCATCGCATCTCGATCTCATTACACGCCTCCGGCCCGCTCCGAGTCCCAAACCCGCTGTGATGTACGGGACGAGTGTCTGAGACGTACAGCGAGCTGATGGATGAGGAAGAGAGAGAGGAGGAGGAGGAAACCAGAGAGAAAACAGTTCCAAGAGGGGAAAAAAGATTGTGCCATTCAAACAAAAATCATTTATTTGAACATCATATGAAGACAAAATGAGTTGCAAAGAAGAAAGACAGATGTATTTAACTGCAAAAAAAAAAGATATTTTTACTTTGCAATATGGTCTTTTAATCTGCATTTCTTTCCGTCTTTCCCTTTGTGTTTCGCTGTGTGCCGTTGTTGTTTTGTGGGGGTGAAAGTAGAGCTACTTTTTGCTGCAATATGCTTCTATATGAGTTATCATTTTGACATTTCATTAAATGTTTTATGTGCAGCAGGAAGAAAGCTATTCTGCGGTTGGTGGGAAAGCAACCTTAGCTTTCTCCTGCAGGTTTATTGGTCCTTGGTATAACAAAAAATAATTGTATATACTCTATAATTTAATATACTGTAATTCAACATATTAATTAAACAGGTGAAACTCGAAAAATTAAAATATCGCACAAAAGTTATAATTGTGATGATTATGTCTTACAGCTTATCAAAACCCCAAATTCAAAATCTCACAAAATAAGAATATTATATGAAATCAATTTTAAAATAGGATTTAAAATGAGAAATTTCAGAGGGCCTACAATTATAATCATGCATATGCACATAGTTATATATATAGTAAATATATTAGTTTCATCTTTTAATTTGAATTACTGAAATACATGACCTTTTGCACGATATTCTAATTTTTATGTAATATTAAAGGAAAATTGACATCTTCAAACTCAAATAGTTGTAGGCTACACAGCTGTATCAAGTTTTCATTAATTATGGTCTTATATATATATCAACGCATTCTCACCCCAAGGCGTCACCTTTGACCATGCTTCAATATTTGACGTTTTAGGCGCCCTTTAGCGTCACTTACATGACGCGATCCTACGGCGTCATCTAACTGACGCTAAAGGAAAGCGTCTGTTAGAGGACGCGGTTAGGTTTAGGTGTGGGGTGGGGGTAGGGTACACGCGATCCTAGGGCGTCATCTTGCTGACGCTAAAGGGCGCCTAAAGCGTCAGATATTGAAGCATGTCCAAATGCTTCCCAAGGCGTCAGTTAAGTGACGCCTTAAGGGTGAGAATGGGCTGTATATATCCATACTGTTGGGTAGCACATTTCCAAGTAAATACAAGACTTTTTTAGGTTTACTTTAGTTAAACTGTCATGTTTCAATAAGTAAGCTAAACGCCCAAACCAACTGATTTGATAATCTGGCCCTCGGATGTAGCTTTGAATATCCCTGATACAGGTGAAACTGCATGGAAAAATTAGAATATGGTGCAAAAGTTCATTTTTTCAGTAATTCAACTTAAAAGGTGAAACTAATATATTATATAGACTCATTACATGCAAAGTGAGCTATTTCAAGCCTTTATTTGTTATAATTTTGATGATTATGGATTACATTTGGGGTTTTCATAAGCTGTAATCCATAATCATCAAAATGATAACAAATAAAGGCTTGAAATATCTCACTTTGTATGTAATGAGTTTATATAATTTTTTTGTGTCACCTTTTAAATTGAATTACAATATTCTAGTTTCACGTGTGTATATATATATATATATATATATATATATATATATATATATATATATATATTGATCCTGATGCAAATGAAAATCTAAACTGCAGTTCATTTTCTATGGTTCAACGTGAGATGAACTTCACCTGTGAGGCATAAAAAGCCAAACGAAAGGAAAGAAGGGAAATCAATGTCCTAACTAAGGGAGTCATGCATTAATAATGAGCCGCTTGTAATGGAAACCTGCGCATCTGTTTCCTGACAAACATGTGCGTGGCCTGCAGTGTTTCTGACCCATCACGTTTAACATCACCTGTCACATATCAGTAATGCATACAGGCAGAATCTCCATAAGCGTGCATGCATACACACACAGACCCTGTTTATACGTCAGCGCTTTAGATTAGCTTGCGCTTGCAGTGGTCGGAGATAAGAGAGAAACTCTACAGGAATTCAGCAGAGGTAGAGACGAGCAGGTGAGACCTGAAAGCTGTCTTTGTGTGTATCCTGGCAGTAGAAACACTGAGCTTCTCACACATACACACACACACACAGACAAACACCTCCTCTTCGTAACCACTGCATGCTTCTCGGCAGAGCAAACAAACTAACCCAACAGAACCTCAGTGTCGGCTCACGCTCGCCGTTCAGCGTTACTGAAGCTGCTGTATTACAAACTCAGCTCATGTTGAGCATGTTCACTGCAAACACTACATCGTGTGTGTGTGTGTGTGTGTGTGTGTGTGTGTGCGTGCGTGCGTGCGTGCGTGTGTGTGTGTGTGTGTGTGTGTGCGAAACAGCAGAACCGACTCAGACCACAAGACTACATGCACCAGTTTTAAATCAAGCATGGCCTCATAAAGTGACGATGAGTCGCTTGATAACTTGAAACCCACTGGTTTGCTTTGACTGAAGCTGTGAACTGGCCTTTTGTGTACAGTAGCCAAACGTTTGTTATTAATGACCCGATTAAAGCATCAAAATATGAGGAAAATCAATGTTTATTGAAATACAATGTTAAAGTATTTTAAATATGTGGGAAGAACAAACACTAAATTTGGTTAAGGTATTTATCTGACTAAATTATTATTACAGTTACAGGTTTTACTATGGAAAATAAATGCATTGAAAAACAAGAAGCATACATGATTGACTGCAACATAATCAGTTATTAATATTTCATTGGTTCTTTTGTTTTGCACGTGTTCATAATTTCTTTGTATGAGAGCCTGGACAAAAACTATGTTGCACAATTTGGCTTTGTGAGTGTTCTTACAGTTAACTTTACATTTCTGAGTCTTTTTCAATGATGTTTAATCGAATAGTGAACTTGATTTTGTCAAATCAATTTAGATAATTACTGTGGTTCAGATTACATCATATGTTGAGTTTCCATTGATTAAACCACAATCTCGTTTGTTGCATTGACTCCAGTTTTTTATTTCAATGAACTCAACATTTTAAGGTAACCAGGTAACTTAATTTAGTTAAACCAACATTTTTTTTAATAACAATATAGTTTACATTGCGTCAGTTTTTAACGGGTGTTGTCCATTATAAATCTCTCCTCAAGAGAATGCAAAATCAAAACATTTTGAACATGAATTTTTTTCCCCATTTAAAATCCCCAAATGCTGTTTTTCTTTAAAATGCCACCAAAATGCAATGATGCACATTTTATTGCCTTAATAGCATTCACATATTTACTGTTGTGATTTTCTGTTTTTAACCACTGCTTGTAAATCACAGTTTATTCGCTGAAGTTTAGAAAATGTTAATAATAATAGAAACTCAGAGTTCTCAGATCAGTGGATATTTGTTCATCAGTGGAATTATGTTGAATATCTGTCAGCTGTTAAACTATAACTACACAATTAGATAATACCAGTTTAGCTCAAACAGTGACCAAGAAATGCTTCGTGTTGTTCAGTGAGTGTGTAAAAAGAGCATTAGCAATTACAGAATAATTTTTGGTTTCAAATTTTTATAAATTTACTGGTAGTCACTGTATGATGAATATTTGGGTATAATATGTCATAAATGAACTATAGTGTCCTGCAAACACTATATATATATATATATATGGTGTTTGAATCATTTTTGGTTTGACTGTATGTCCTTTCATACTTCACCGCGCTGCCATCCATGATGCATTGCTCTCTCGCTAACGTTCTCATGTGTTTGACTCTGTCGTGTTCTGTGTGTGTGTGTGTGTGGATATGAACGAACAGAAGGCTGTGTACTGAAGTGTGCTCTTGATTCTCCACAGAGGGGATTCGCTGAGCCATGCGAAGAGAAGGAACGCAGAGAGCGAAGACATTTCCAGCGGACGCAGTGAACACGCTGTAAAACACTTTTGTTGGTTTAACTTAAAAAAGTAAGTAACCTGGTTGCCTTAAAATCTTAAGTTCATTAAAATAAAATAAAAATGTTGTTAAAGCTGCAGTGTGTAATATTTAGGAAGATCTGTTGACTGAATGCAATATCATATTCATAACTGTGTCCCGTGTTGTATAAAGAGCTACACAATGAACCGTTGTGTGTTTATTAGCTTAGAATGAGGCGTTTCTCTCTACACACAAACACTGCGGGTCCGCTAACAATCACATGTTTCTATGGAGGCCCTGAACAGACAAACACGTTTCGTCACTATGTTGTTCTTCATGATAATAATAATAATAATTAAAGCTGCAAGCAGCATTTATCGGTGTTCAAGCAGTTCAGGCCTTTAAGCACAAAAGCATCGAAAGGCATTCAATTTTATTTAACATGCATTTATCCACGGACATAATAGATGTAAAACACCATTTACAATCAATACAGGCAATTTAACATTGGAAATGCATGGTTTTAAAGCTTTTTAACAGTTATAGTGCCACCTATGGTCCGATCTCCATGAAACTGTGCATGCTTCTTCGGCATGTTATGAGACATATGCTCATCAATTTTTGTGAAAATTTTGAGTTTTCCTTTAGGATTTATATGATTTTGGGTGCATTTTGTCCCATCCCTTTTGTAAACGACCCTGTTATAGCTAATCAAAAGCAAAAGTTCTACTTTTTTTTCGATAATTATTTATCTAGAGAGTCCAGAGAATAGTATTGGGCAAAAAACCAGGGACTAGTTCGCAAAAGTGGGTTTTGGACAAAAACCGAAATAACACATTTTTTTTTGCTCCAAATGGAAATCCGAGATATACAGCAGCTTTCAGCACTTCGTGCTTGAACACCTAATAATGAGAGACCTTTTTGACGATTATAGCACCACCTATGATCCGATCCTCACGAAAATTTGCATGCTTCCTAACCATGTTAGGACACATATGCTCATCGATTTTTGTGAAGTTGTGACTTTTTGGGGGGGATTTAGGGGCTTTTGACTGAATTTTGCCACAGACCACTATCTAAATGAGCCTGTTACAGCCAACCAAATGCAAAATTTCAACTTTTTTTCAATAATTATTGATCTAGAGAGTCCAGAGAATAGGCCTAGACTGGTTTGGTCTCGATTGGGCAAAAGACCAGGGACTAGTTCGCAAAAGTGGGTTTTGGACAAAAACCGAAATAACAATTTTTTTTACATCTTGTCCGTCTTGAGCCAGGGATTACAGTGGTGTAAAAACATTGAAGCTAAGTCAAACGGTCTAGGAGTTATGAGCAATTTAGTACTTTTGGTTGCTGTAGGTGCCACCTATGGGCCAATCTGGGTCATACTCTGATAGCTTCTCCACAATTCGAGGCCCTACCATCTGACAAAGTTTCACAGCTCCAGCCCTTATGGTTTGGGCTGCACGATGCATTTTAGGGGATTTTTTTTTATTTCTAGCAAATACAATAGGTTTTCAGCACTTCGTGCTTGAACACCTAATAATAATAATTCATTACATTTATATAGCGCTTTTCTCGGCACTCAAAGCGCTTTACATAGAGGGGGGAATCTCCTCAACCACCACCAGTGTGCAGCATCCACCTGGATGATGCGACGGCTGCCATAGTGCGCCAGAACGCTCACCACACACCAGCTTACTGGTGGAGAGGAGGCAGTGATGAAGCCAATTGGTATATATGGGGATGATTAGGAGGCCATGATGGACAGAGGCCACTGGGCAAATTTGGCCAGGATGCCGGGGTTACACCCCTACTCTTTCGAAAGACATCCTGGGATTTTTAATGACCACAGAGAGTCAGGACCTCGGTTTAACGTCTCATCCGAAGGACGGTGCTCTTTGACAGTATAGTATCCCCATTACTATAATGGGGCATTAGGACCCACACAGACCACACTAACACCTCTTCCAGCAGCAACCAGGCTTTCTCAGAAGGTCTCCCATCCAGGTACTAACCAGGCTCAGCCCTGCTTAGCTTCAGTGGGCAACCAGTCTTGGGCTACAGGGTGATATGGCTGCTGGCTGCTGGATAAGAAGCTGCTAAAGTCAGCGAATAAAACACTGACTTAATGATGAACAAGTGACAGTAATATTCGCTATAACATAAATTTAAACCTAATTTCTTAATTTTCATTTGTAAGGAAACCTCATTGCTTAACTGGCTCCTCTCTGCTGTCTCAGACGACATCACTTCCTGCCGGCCACCATAACTTCTGTTCGTTGCAGTTCACAACCTCACCACTAGATGCTGCTAAAAATTACACACTGCACCTTTAAAGCAATGTGAAAACAAGTTATCATAACTTATTGATCATATTTTTTTTTTACAGTGAACAGAGGTTAGGCTAGAGGTTAGCATTGATGGACAGGTGGAGATCGGAGCAATGCTGGAGCTTCGGCCCCTGTTGTCCCGCTAACGATCCCGGACCGGATCCGGCGCTCCGAGGCTGAGGGACTCATGCAGGCCCGGAAGAAGTACGTGCTTCTGGGCTTGTGCTCGTTCTGCTGGCTTCTGCTGTATTACCTACAGGACAGGCTCCTGGGTTTCCTCGCGTATAGGAGAGGAGAGGGGGCGCGGCCGTGGCCCGACTGGCTAGATCGGGATCTTCTCCCGGGATTCGCCGAACACGCCGAGCTGTTAAATGACGGAGGACCGGGAGACTCGCCTCGGCAGCGACGCCAAGCGTGGACCGGGATCTACAAGGACAGTCGGTGCAGGATGGAAACATGCTTCGATTTTGCGCGATGTCAAGCTCTAAGCACGTTTCGGGTCTATATTTATCCGCCGGAGAAGAGCGAACGAGTGTCGGAAAGCTATCGGAAAATCCTCACCTCGGTGGCGGAGTCGCGTTACTACACGTCGGATCCTCGGGAAGCGTGTCTATTCGTGTTGGGAATTGATACGCTTGACCGGGATCAGCTATCGACGCAATTTGTTCCTAACGTAGATGAGCGGATTCGCGGATACCCGCTCTGGAACGACGGGAGAAATCACGTCATCTTTAACCTTTATTCTGGAACTTGGCCAAATTACACAGAGGATCTTGGATTTAACATGGGACAGGCTATCTTAGCAAAAGCAAGCTTGAATACGGAGCATTTCCGACCGGGATTTGACGTGTCAATCCCGTTGTTTTCTAAAGAACACCCTCAGAAGGGCGGGGAGCGCGGATGGCTAGTGCGCAACACTGTCCCACCGCGCCGAAAGTACTTGTTAATGTTTAAAGGGAAACGTTACTTGACGGGCATCGGATCGGACACTCGTAACGCTCTGCATCACATCCACAATGGGAAGGACATTGTGTCCCTCACCACGTGTCGCCACGGAAAGGACTGGGAGAAGCACAAGGATGCGCGGTGCGACCGGGATAACCAGGAGTATGAGAGGTGAGTTTCTGGTTTCTGTGACTCAGTGTTGAACACGAGACGCTGCTATCGGTTACTGATGTGACAGAGTCAGGAGTGAATAACGCTCAACATGTATCAAGTGCTCTCTTGGGATGATGTCATACATCATACATGTGTTTAAACCAAGCGCAACCTTCCTGTCTCTCTCTTGAATCCGACACTGAAGTGAGTTAACCTGCAGTGCCTCCACTGGCCACTAGAGGCCGGCTGCAGAAAAAAAATGTGTTTACAGCCTGGTGCAAAACGTGGTTTTGGTCTATATAATGTTGACCTTCATGACGACTGTGAGGACGGTGATTTTTTTTACAAATCAACCGTTTAAATTATATTGAGCCTCAAAGTTATGCATAATTAAGGGAGTGGCCACTTGAGTGACAGGTAGTTTTCCGCTGATGCCACTGTTTGTCTGCTGTCTGATTAGCATCACGTCATCTCAGCTAATCTGCCTCGTTGCACACGTTCGGTTATCTGGGAGTGAAGCGCAGCCAAGATGGCGACGGCTGGCTCCGCCCACTTTGGGCTTCAAAAATGCTCTTCAGAAACACTACGGATGACGTCGCGCACACTTAGTCCATATGTTTTTACAGTCTATGGTTTAAAGAGACTTTGAATCAACATTTCTCATTTATGAATCAGGAGGTGAATGGATGTGCTTTCACTAAGCCCCGCCCCCCTTGGTTACTGTTACTAGAGTTACAGAACATCAAATATAAATGTATATCTCCATAACTGTTAGTAAAATGTGCTCATAAATTATTGGATATTATCCCTACATTGACTGAAATGAAGTGTGATACTGAAAATGTATTTAAGTCTCAAGATTCATTTAAAGACTTCTTGTCCCCATCATTTTATTTTATTTTTGGATACTTTCTGAGAAAATGCATTCAAACTTTATGTTGGCTTGACAAACCTTTTTTTCTTCTCAGACTAAATTTTGTCAGTATCTCCAGCAGGCTAAATCATGCAAGCAACGTGCTAAATCATGCTAGTAATATGCTAATTCATGCTAGCAATGTGTTAAGTCATGCTAGTAATGTGCTAAAAAATGCTAGCAACATGTTAAAACATATTACCAATGTGTAAAAACATGTTAGTAGTGAGCTAAACATGCTAGCAAGTCAGCAACATGCTAACAATGTATTAGCCTAAACATGCCTGCAAAAATGCAAAATGATGTTTGCCATATGCTAAGACATGCTAACAACATGATACAACTAGCTAGGAAGTTTTTAAAACTTTGAAAGGCTTTGTCTAAGCCACGAGTCCATACAAACTTTAATTTAAAATGTAATTTTTGCATTTAACTAAAAGAGCAAAAGCTTGAGAGAAAGAATACGCATGGAAATAGTTGCTATGGCAGGATTGGTCAGTGACATTTGAAGGCGGGGCTTAGCTAAGATCAGTTTAAACCGCTAGTGTTTAATGACACCAAAAGCTTTGACTTTAATTACAGTATTCTAAATATTTTTGCAACGCATAGGCTACACGAGCCAATGGAGTTGAACAGAAATATGTGAAAGGAAGGGAGGAACTACCTCAGAGAATGTCTGTGAAATAAAGTGTTAGTCTTAGAGGAGTGTAAGGAATAAAGTCTCGAACTGTTGAATGGCTTCAGACTTGTTTGCTCTCGGTTTGTGGTGGATGAATGTGTTCATTTGTTCCACTCGACAGGTTCAGGGAACAAACTTATCCAAACTCTTCAGCAATATACCAGTGTGCGGTGGTCCTGGTCTATGTGAGGAAGTCCAGCATTCATGAAATACTTTATTTCTACTGGAATGAACATGGCGGTTTTCATCGTGGAGGTCTATAAGTGTGGGGCGGGTGGATTGATGCATGAACGGCAGTTTGAGAGTTTCATGAGGACATTTTAGAAAGAACATTCAACCCCAAAATATTTTTTTATTTGACATTTGATAATTTCGCAGCTTGACAAAATACTCAATCAGGAAAAGGATGACATGAACACATTTCATATAATTTTTTATTTTATAAATAACTGCAAAATGTTGTATTATAATTTTTTTAAGAAATATATAATTGTTTTTTTTTTAATAAATAAATATTTTTATCACTTATAAAACAAGTACTCCCGCAGGAAAAGGATAACATGAACATATTTCATGTGATTTTTTTATTATATTAATTTTATAAATAAATGTGTAAATACACTTTTTAATAAATATATAATTGTTTTTTTTACTAAATAAATATGTGTATGTATATTTAATATATATTTAATTTAAAGGATAACATGAACATTTTTCATGTGTTTTTTTATTTAAATAATTTTATAAATAAATAGCTTCAACATTTATGTGATATTTATATCTGTAATATATGTTTAAAGATATTGTATTTTAAAATAGCCAGAATATTTAGAGTTGCACACCTCAATTCAACTGAAAATGATGTGGTAAGCGGTGAGAAATAAAATCAATCCCGATTTAATAAACAACACACTTTGTAGTCAGATTATTAAATACCGCACCTACTTTAAAACGTAATTTGATTTAATTTTAATTTAATTTAACTTTAATTTGATTGAAATTACAGTAATATTGTAAACATTTGTGAATTTATAGTAATGTGTAATTTATTCCTGAATGTTCAGCATCATTACTGTTCAGTGTCACATGATCCTATAGAAATCAATCTGATAAGATGATCTGATGCTCGAGAAAGATTTCTTGACACGTTCCCCTTTGTGGAGTTTTGGAGACTGTGAGCCGGACTGTCACCGGCTCCGTCTCTCAGTCACATGCAGGAATAGCTCTGAGGAGGTTCTGTGGGGTTAATGATCTCCAGCATCTGCTACTTCCACAGATTAACCTGAAGGCACCCGGAGCATCCGATCCCACTGAACCGACACAGGGATGAGACCGAGCAAGCGAGAGAGAGAGAGAGAGCGAGAGGCCACACGGCCCATATTCACTCACTCACTCTTTAAAAACAGGGAAGGGGAAGAGGGGACTCGCATTGTACTGGGCATGTAAATGAGACGAGGTGAGAGAGCTTGTGGGAAAAGAAATAGGGCAAGCTGTTTCGGGACAGTTTTGGGACACTCACACACACACACTCACACACAGACGGAGGATTATACTGCAATACTGATTATACTCTCTTCAATACCACTGTAGACTTCTGGGAAGGCATTAGAATGTGTGAGTTTGTGTGAGTGAGTGCGTGAGAATGCGTGTGAGAGAGAGAGAGCAAAAGAGAGTGAGTGTGTGTGTGTGTGTGTGTCTGTGTGTAAGAGTGTGAGTTAGAGAGAGAGAGGGATTGAATGTGTGTGTGAGTGTGTGGTTGTTTGTGTGTGTGCACGCGTGCATCAGAGTGTGAGTATGTGTGTGCAATAGTAAAATGCGGTCCCTCTCTTGACAGTTCGAACAGAAGAAGTCATTATTCTTGATTCTGAGAGAAAAGAACTCATGGAAAACTCTCTCTCTGCTGGCTTGTGTGTTTACTGAAGCATCAGCTGTGAACCAGTGTAACGGATCACGACTGATGAACTTCATAAAGACTTTAACTTCGCCTGGTGTGTGTGCGCGCGTGTTCAATCGTTGGCAGGACCCAGTAAGTAATGCTACGCCCACTGTAATTGGGGATGTGTAACTGTACCCCTAGAGAGAGAGTGTGTGTGTGTGTGTGTGTGGCTCATGCTCAAACTAGGTTTATTTAGAAGGAAGCGAAGGCCGTCCATCTTCCTCGCTCATCTTTTGTGCTCTCTCTTTTTTCCCAAGTTCCCCTCAATTTCTCTCGCTGGGATTCTTCCCTTCTCTTTACCTCACCAATCCCTTGACCCTCTTTCCCCATCTATCCAGGCCAAGTCTTTTACATACACACACACACATGCATTTGCTTATTGGCGCGAGGAGCCAAAGATGCTAATTTGCTCTTCATGCATGGACACTTTTCTCAGTCAAGCATGGAGACAACGCATGCACACTTCTCAGTGCTCTAAACATGTTCACTCCTCTCTCTTCATAACCAGGATCAAGACATGACAGGTCAAAGGTCATGACCTACTTTTCCCAGGACTCATTTTAGGCTAATCCTTGAACCCGTTATATAAATAAATGCTCAATTACAGACTTTATATATATATATAGGGCTGTGAGTTTAACACGTTATTAATGGCGTTAGCGCAAACCCATTTTAACGGCGTTAATTTTTTTATTGTGCGATTAACCGTCTTTTTGGCCTAGCAAACTTTGTGGGGTTTTTTCACTTGCTTTTGCAACAGGATTTGGCATGTGCGGCACTGCGCTATAAAAAACACATTAATTTCAATGGCTACCAAAGCATCCAAAGTTCGTCGACCAAAGCGCAAGCGGATCTAGCTAGACGGGAAACAAAACAGGCGCAACGCAGCACACAATCATTTGGGCTTGCGAGCCGGCCAAATAGTTGGTCAACGTTACGTTTTGAGTGGATGACGAGTGCGAGAAACATTTGCACAATGCAAGCCAATTGTCACAATTGTCACAAAAAAGTTCAGGGGGGATGAAGCAGGGGCGGTCTGAGGGAGGGACGGTGGGCCAGGCCCGTGCAGGGGAACGGGACCAGGAGGTAGCAAAGGCGGGCCTGGGCCGCAGAGCGTGGCCGGAGCAGGACAAGGCAAAG